CTCCAATACTTTTGCCTCTATTTTTGGCCCAACGCAATTACTCCACTTAGTCATTGCTGCTATGATGCATGCATCTTTCTTGCTCTTTTTTCTCCCTCCCGTGCTCATGGATCATTTGGGCCACGTTATGCTTCCTCTCCCTTACCATCAAGCTTAAAAGATTCAGCTAATTAGTTGTTATGTTGTCCCACCTTCTATATTGGGAACTTGCTCAATGCCCACCTATCCACATCACCTTGATTGATAACCCACTCATATAAATCATGAGACATGGTTTCTGAGATCATCCAGCGCATGATCAAACCTCATCCGCAAGTCTTGCATAAGCCACTTATCCCGTACCTTTAATGCATCTTCCTTTGAATGTTCACTTGTCCTTCTCCGCGACCTCTGTTTAACTTCATATATTCAGAGCTAAGTTCTCCTTCACATGCCTATAACAGTATGCATGCCTTTCACCCCCAATATTGCCTGCACAGCACCAATTATAGAATTATGTCTATCTGACACAATAGTCAGTTGCATTGAACAACAATTTGTTTAATCTTGTGAAAAACCACACGTCCAGTCTCAAGATTCTCTCCCTTCACCACTGCTATTGCAAACGGCAACATCTCATTATCCGCATCATATGCCGAAGCTGACAGTAATGTCCCCTTATATGGACCACTTAAATGAGTACCGTCAACATATAATATAGGCCTAGGCCTTGCCCGTTCAAAAAACCCTCAACACATGCACCGTATGCAATGAACACACGCTCAAATCTATTACCAATGGAGGCCCATTCAGCAACCGTTTTGTCATCAGTTTCCTTCAACCTTCTTCACATAACCATGGTATTAACATATAGGACTGTTCCGTTTTCCCATGTATTTCTTCCATTGCCTTTTCCTTTGCTCTATATGCCTGACAATATGTAAGCCTCCCACCATACTCCCTCTCTCAACATCTTCCTATCTCAGTGGGCCGTTTTTCAGCATGGTCCCTTATCTCTTCAACTATTACTGATGATGTCAACGCAGCACTCCCACCATAAGTCACAATCAAATTGTCTTGGCTGAATGAATGTGCTTATTGCAAAATGTAGTCACACGTAATAGATGACTGTTTTCTTTCCACCATTTGCACATATCTTCCAAGGACACCCCTTCTACTTTACACCTCACATTCATCTTCTCCTTACTATTCCTGATATATCTTGCTGCAAACTCTCTCTGCAATACTGAACCTGTACACAGCTTCCCTAAAAGCAACAGCATGTGGAACATATTGGCCCACTCCTACAAACACTCCTGCCCAATTCGTACCATTCATCTCGCCCGTCAGTCTTCCCTGACTCTCTGAACCACTACACTTGCTTCTCTGACTTGATCCGCCTCCTTCAAAAGTTAGGCATTCAACTCCATTCTCAACATTCACTGGCTCATGTTCATCACCAATGGTCGTTTCAAATGTATTCATATCTTGTGAAAGTCCAAATAAATTCTCACTCCTGCCACCATAATACCAAGTTAGGACAGCTATATTCAAACGACAGGTTTGAATAAAATAACATGTCTACATCTAAATAACAAGTCCGCATATGGTTATTACAACTTTACTAACTAAAATAACAAGTCTACATCTACAAACAATTCCTTGCTCAATTAACAAGTCCGTAAGAGGTAATTACAACTTGAGTTACTCATATAACAAGTTTCCATATAGAAACTACTGGTTAGTAAAATAACATCTACAGATCTAAATAACAAGTCCGTATATGATAATTATAACTTCAATACGTTGATTACAAGTCTACATATGGAAATCTCTGCTTATGTCTAATAACAAGTCTGCATTTCTAAAACACAAGTTTACAAATGGAAATGACATGTCCACTATGTTCAATAACATGCTTGCATTTACTAATTACAATTTAGGACTGCAGCACCATTAGCTTCATTACAATATTTCTATACGAATTCCAACATATATTAGTAAATAACAAGATTCAATTGGAAAACATAACCACTTACACGTCTGGCTCATTCCTTGCTCTACGTTCCCTATCATTCCCTTTCCCTCCTACATACACATGACCACTGCTGTCATTATATCTAAACAAGTTGCTGATATCACCATCATCACAAAGATCAATCAATGTACTCTCATCAAATTTAACTTTATACTTAATCTCATATCCACCACCATCATTGCCTATCCACTGTGAAATTATTCCACACAACTCGTCTACTGTTATCCATTCTTTTATACTGGTTACCCTTACACTCCCTCCAATATATTTAACTATCCCTTCACCATTTGCTTCAAAATGTCCACCAATGTGCACGTAACACGAACAACAACTCCTTCCCACAGCTTCTTCTTCGTTATTGAAATCCATTTTTCATACTAATCTGCAGCAAAAATTTACGTTTAGTCAGTACGTTAGCTTCACTAATAAATATTTACTCATTTATTCCATCGACTCAACCATTTACATACCAAATTAAAACCCGTGACCTCCTGTCTTCCCAACATCACTTTAGAGCCTTCACAACTTCACTTTAGGGCTTCACAACTTCACTTTAGGGCTTGACGACTTCAACACCGAAAATCATGGTATCGTCATTCCCTCATTCCGCGGCAACACCTCAACGTTCACGGTCAAACTAACGGCCATTATCCAACCTACACTCTGCCAAACCACTACACTCTGACCCCTTCCCCATCGCAACCAGCACCGTGCACTACAAATGACAGATGACCGTTCAGACTACGAAAACAAAAATATCCCACCTCCAACTAACCACAACCTCCTACATTGTCATATCTTCATCTTCAACTACTTCAACTACCCCCCCCATTCCCTCCCTTCCTCCAGCCTACTCACCCACACAGCAGAGATGAAGATGGAGAATGTGACGATGTGTAACTCTTACAGGGAACAATACAAGAAGGGTTTACTCTCAGTAAGTTAGTCGCATTATTGCCAATGTTCGAAGATCCCAATATCGCATATTCGTTCGGCTCATCCTACTCCACCACTCTCCCGCCACTCCAAATCCTGGTTCCTCTGCCTTCATTAACAGTCATGATGAGTGAGGGGCATTTCAGCCATTTTCCTTACATTCATAATTGCAAATTTGGGACCGGGTCCTCTGCAAGCATTTCTCAAATTGGGGGTCCCTGATTGCTATTTTATATTGGGGGTCCTTATTTGCAATTTTCCTTTTTTTTTTTGTTTTAAAAGAAGAAAGTAGATTGGCCTATAGCGGGAGGTTGGAAATTTTTTCAGCTCAGCAGGAGATGGGTTGATTTTGGTTTGGCCTTAACCGTTCCAAGTTCCAAACCGCCCTACTCTAACATATAACAGCCAATAATCTATTAAGAGTACCTTCAAAAGAAAAAGTGTGTGTGGTATATGACGTTTGAGGACAACAACGATTTTATTAATATGAAACAAATATAAACTTATAAGCCCAATTGAATCCGCATTCTCATTATGTAATTGTTACATCATATTAAAATCAAAACATGATATGATATAATCATTTTCCCTAGACTAAATTATACTCCTCCTGTCTTATTTATAAGACCTTCTAACATGTTTCAAACATATTAAAGAAAAAACCTTAAACTGTATTATCTTTATTAAATATAACAACTTTTTCTAACTTTACCCCTATTTAATATATACTTCTTTAAAAAAAATACCTATCTACACTGTAATAAATGAAGGACAATATGATACATTCATAGTAAAAATTTTAATAAAATGACTTATAAATAGAAAAAAAAAATCTTTTCTCTCTGTCATATAAATAGGACCAGAAGAGTACATACTATGAGAATGCCTGTGCTAATAGATGATGGGTTGCTCAAGGGACAGAGCAAGATAAAATAGCAAGTATATATGCATTTCATAATCTGTCTTGCAATGACACATTGGGTTTCAAATTTCCCCATCGCTACAAATCTCAGTATGATAATCAAGTTCAACCCTAAACAACCTTTGCCACATGGTTTAAACTTCAAAATGTACATATTATAATCAAAACTTAGTGGCATGTATACATGAACACGTACATTTTACTTCCAAAGTAGAAGACTCACTTATCAGCTTGGACCACTAAGTAATTGACCCCTTTTTTTTTATGAATTAGAGAAGTTGACACTGACACCTGAGGTTTAAAAACGGAATTGAACCCACAACCTCCTACTCACAGGGAGCTTTCATGCCATTGGACTACAAGACCCCATGGGCATTAAGTAATTGAATTTGAGCCAAGTGCTTGCTACCTCGCAAGTGAGAAGCCAAGTCACCTTCACTAGTGCATTTTGCATTACACATATCACATCTTAATCTGGAACTTTTCATTCCAATTGATGTTCTACCTTCTTCTGCAATTCTTGCAAACTTGGTGGTATTGGCATCAACGTCTTTGATTTTATTCTGCTGACTAACATTGATAGTTTCAACATACTTATGGCTCCATTTTTGGATGATGACTGTTTGTGGTATTCTGTTCTAATGCACTTGGTGTATAGATTATCATCTCCTCTTCTCCAGTGGACTCATCATTCTTTCTCACCGGGAACTTTCTCAGCAACAAGCTGGCTTTTTGCGTTCAGTGCTTCACAAGCAGCCTTATGCTTCTTTCCTTTCAGGTGGGAATTCAAACTACCTTCAGAACATATTTTCAATTGACATATTTTACAAGTCCACATTTTCTGTACATCTTTAGATGCAGAAACCTGAGAAGATGCTCCACTTCCTGTGTCTGTCACTTCGGTTCCTTTAGTTTTCCCGTTCAGTGCTTCACAAGCAGCCTTATGCTTTCTTCCTTGCAAGTGGGAATTCAAATCAACCTCAGAAAGTATTTTCAATTGACATATTTTACAAGTCCACATTATCTGTACGTCCTTAGATGCAGAAACCTCAGAAGATGCTCCCCTTCCTGTGTCTGTCACCGGCGTTCCTTTAGTTTTTGTATTCAGTGCTTCACAAGCAGCCTTATGCTTTCTTCCTTGCAGGTGGGAATTCAAATTAGCTTCAGAAGGCATTGTCAGCTGGCATATGGCACAAGTCCATTCTTTCTGTACATTCTCAGATGCAGAAATCTGAGGATATGTTCCGTGTTCTGTGTCTGCTGCCATTTTTTCGGTTTTCGCCATGGCAGGTGAAGTGCTTTCATTTGATTTGAATCTGTCCATGGCTGTATTAACCTGCAACGTTGAAAACTTGGCATTAGGTGGGAATTCAAATCAACCTCATAAAGTATTTTTCAATTGACATATTTTACAAGTTCACATTGTCTGTACATCTTTAGATGCAGAAACCTGAGAAGATGCTCCACTTCCTGTGTCTGTCACTGGCGTTCCTTTAGTTTTCGCATTTAGTGCTTCACAAGCAGCCTTATGCTTTCTTCCTTGCACGTGGGAATTCAAATTAGCTTCCGAAGGCATCGTCAACTGGCATATGGCACAAGTCCATTCTTTCTGTACATTCTCAGATGCAGAAATCTGAGGATGTGTTCCATATTCTGTGTCTGCTGCCATTTTTTTGGTTTTTGCCATGGCAGATAAAGTGCTTTCATTTGATTTGAGTCTTTCCAAGGCTCTATTAACCTGAAATGTTGAAGACTTGGCATTGAGGTGAAATTAGCGAAAATAATCAACTTCGTTCTCTGCTGTTTTTGTAACCTAACTTCTTTTCTGGCAATCACAAGGAAAGTGGAAAAAACTCACAACAACTATAAGTATTATCAGACCTAAGCTATTTGCAAATAACCAACTTTAGCATGACTTAGTTTTTTTTTTTTTTGGGGGGGTTTTTCCCTTTTTTCGCTTGAAAATGACATGAAGTCTTACTTGCTTGCCTTCAGGAACTTGCTTTTTTTCAATCATCTCCAAATCTTTGGCGTCTTTCTGTTCCATGAGAAGCCTTCCTCTATTTGTCTGCACAAAGACAATAAGGTTGGAAGATAAGCTCCTTCATGTATCAAATACCCCAACCCAGAAAAGGTTTCAGTTTTTTCATGTTTGAAACTGGCCATAAAAGGGCAAGAATTGCATAAGAAATTCATCTGTTACATTTCATTCTTCCTGGTGGTTGGAACTGTTCTTATTGTTACTGTATTAAGACTTTCTGCTGTGTTCCTTCTATTAAAGGTGCATTGGCTTAATTCTTCAGTAATCAAGATTCACATAAATATAAAATATGTAGGCAACTGAAATGAAAGAGGGACCAAGTAAATTCAAACTCAACCCACACATCTATCAAGATTCACGTAAAAATTCACCTCCAGGATCTCATTCTTCTCCGTAGTTGGAACTGATGTTCTTGTTTCTGAATTAAGACTTTTCTCTATGATCTACAATAAAAGACGATGATCATTGGCTTCATTCCTCAGTAGTCAAGAATCACAAAACAAGTAAGCAACTTGAATGAGATTGGTGGTGGGTACTTCTGAACTCAAACAAGCTATCTATATATTAAAACCAGCATGCATCCCTTTAAAGAAACCATTTGGTGTACTATTTTCAACTCAAGCATCTCGAACTTCAGGTGGTATCCAAGATGCCAGTGCTTCGGTATACCAGCATCCGTACAACCTAAGCATCCCAATTAAAAAGAGGCATAGGACAAACCCCCTTCAAACCACATCACTTTTAGCTTTGTTAGCTTTTATAAACTACTGAAATGTCTGCTTTCCATGAACACTTTTGACAGCCATACCTAAGATGAAAATCTTAATAACAGCCAGATGTAGTTCCATGCATTGCATAGAGTCTGAAAAACGAGATACACTATAAGCGGCTAATGAATAGTACGTGATATATATAGATATGGTGATTTTCATACCTTGCTAGCAATGAGTTCCTCTAAGACTTCAATTCCATTCTGTGTTATATACTTCTCAGCCTGCATTGTAAAGTCTTCTTTCTTGACAAATATGTTCTTCCAGTTCCTGAATCTGCTTATGACTGCTTGAGGATTCATGTGGATGCATGATTGAATGAAGTGATTATAGACATAAGCAGATCTTCCAAAATCCGGAATCACAAGGAAGGCGACCATGATTAGCTTCATGTAATGCCAATACTGAAACCTGATGTTGAAAATGAGGATGGATAAGTAAGATTGGTTCAGAACCTGAATGAATCTGATATCACAGTTCATGCAATTTTAACTGCAGATGATATAATCCAATTAGTAAAATATGATAAAAGGAAGAACAGCAACCATTTTGTTCAGTTCAATGGCCATGTGTTTTTGTTAAATGAGAGAGAGTAAATGGTTTACCATTGAAGAAGCTTGAGGAAAGGATACTCAAAGAGGTATATCAGTGAGAGAAGAATCCAATAAGAGATCAAAATCCGAGTGTCCGAATGGCTATCATGCTCAATTGCTTCAATGGAAGCATAGCTTTGACCATAAAAACACCATCATCGTAATTCATAAACAACAAAAACAGCATCACTATCACTGAAACAATAATAGTTTAAAGGAAACATAGACTTATGATAAATGCAAGAACGCTTTTTCAGAGTTGCACCAAAACAGAGTCAGAGAGACACTTACAGAGGATAACCCAAAGCAAGCACGGGCCTGTAAATGAGAACAACACAGAATCAGTAATCAAAAAGCGTGAGGAGAAAAAGAGGGTTTGATAGACCCAGACCCATTTTCTAACTTTTCATAGTTAAAGAGGGAGACCATTGAGTGCTTAGGACATCGAACGAATAATGTGAACATACGGGCAAAGATTACAGATTATGGAATCTGATCAGAAGAAGAAAATGTGCAGCCATAGAAAAGAAGCAAAGGAGGGATATACAAGAGATGCATACCATGAAAGAAAATCAATGCATTTAAGAAGGAGTGTGAGGAACCAGAAAGAAGCCATGTTGGATCGGAGCTGATTTTTTTTTTTTTTTTCTTCTTGTTTTCGCACTGTGATGAGGTTAATTCTGCAGAGAGATGTGAAGAATAAAGGTGAAGTAAGGAATCATGAAGAAGACTTAACGAAGAAGGAAAAGTCAGAGAAGGAGGGAGGAAAAAAGAGAAAGTCGTTGTGGGAAGTGGGAAAGTAAGTTTACTGTTGAAGGACAGTAGCTAGCACACGTCTATTTGGGATTGGTGGCGAGCGGAAGACAGGTACAAAACTCAATAATGTCATTAGCCAATCGTAGTACACTAGTACGGATTCAATTTATAGTAACTATTATCTAAATCTAATATCTAATAACAAAATATGTCAACATAATCATGTATAATTAAAAATTTTAATATAATGAATATAAAAAACTTGACTTAAATATAGCCCTATCTAAAATACTCTCTCTTTAAAACTGCATGTTCCTTTAAATTAAAATAAATTTAAATTTCATTAATTCTGTATTAAAATCTATTAAAGTTTTATTTATTACTATTATTATTAATTAGTTTACATGATACTCCTCGTATGATTACGTTGACGTAAAGAGGCTCATCGGGTCCTCCCCACAGGCCACGACCCCACAAAGAAGTGTTGTGAACATAGAATTAAAATCCGGATTGGACTTGTCAGCTCAGTCAGAAAACTAATAAACTGGATGCGGAATTGGTTCGGTCGAGCATAAAAGTCAGGATTAAATTGATCAGGTATGACCTAGGAATAACCTTGGTTAGCCCGACTGATTTGTTAAGTTAATCCAATTGCCTCTTCTTCTTTTTTTTAATAAAAAAAGCTATTTTGATCAAAATTGTTTTCTTTTTTTAAAAGTTGTTCATAATTACTATTATTTAGTGACTGAATGATTGTTAGAAAGAATATTTTGTTATCATCTAGTATTTACTTTTATATTTTGCTAGGATGAATATTTAATAATTTTACTAGTATGATAATATGATTCAATTTGTTAAGGGAATTGTAAAAAAAAATTGAAAAGAAATTGTAAGCATATAATTATTTTTTTAATAATTCAAGATACATAATTGATATTTAGTTGACAAAAAATTAAATTATTGTTTTTTTTTTTCTCACCATTTTGACCCGTGGACTAATTCTAGTCTAGTCTGAGAGGTGGGAATCAGGTCCGACCCTTCAGAGCTAGCGGGCTTAAAAGGGCCGGCTCTCCAGGGTTAAAATTTCAAAAATACCCCAATTTGCTAGACCCGACCCTTAAACTACAGGGCTCAAGGTCGGCCCGCGGGCTTTTGACCCGTTTTAAAAAAATGCTATTTTTTTATATTTATCATATTTTTTTAAAAAAATAAAAATAAACTAATGAAATTATTAATAAAAGACATAAATATGAATAAAATTAAGTAACAAATATAAAACATCATCACATGTAAATATCCATCAACATCCAAGAACATCTAAAACATTCATTAACAAGATAACAACATCCAAAAGTTTTATCTATAGTGTAATTGTGCAATAAATAAACACTATCATTAATCTTTTGAAACTTCATCATCACTATAATTAATTACTTTTCTTCATAAGTATGCTTTTCTTTCGTAACAAAAATATCAAGTTTTTCTTCTTTATAGGAATTTTACTTTTAAATTTTACAATATAGCTATTATTGTACTTTAATGTGAGAAACATTGTTGTTGAAACTCATGAATTTCTAATTCAAATTATAGAATCACAAATTATATAAGTATAAAAATACTCTATTATCAAATTATATATAGTTTAAAAATATCAACGCATATAATATAAATCAAATCATTATTAAAGTCCAAATTAACCCATTTTTAAAAATTTAATTGGATAAATTATTGTCTAACACTAAATTTAATTTTAAAATCATAATAATAACTAAATATTTGAAATATTATTAACAATGTTAAAAATGAATAACATTAGAATTATATAAAAAAATTTAAAAAACAAAAAAATTATAAAAGGTCTTAAAGGGGCCGGTTCTTTTAAGCCCTTGGCCCTCCAAGGCTTATTTTCCATTTGAAGGGAAAAATATCAAACCCGACCCTCATAATTTCAGAGTCTAAACGGGCCGGCCCGACGGGTTCAGCCTGTTTTCCCGGCTGTCTGAGTCATTGACTCTACCCGGTGTCTTAATGGATCTAGTTTTCACTACCTTAGTTGTAAATGAGAGAAGTAGATTATAGTGAGAATTTCGCTCAAGGAGTAATGAGGTGTAAAGTTAATACTATTATTTTGAAAATTAAGCTTAGTACTTAGAAATATTTTGTTAATATTTAAAATGTCAAGAGAAAAAAAATAAAAAAACCTTAAAAATTGCTAAAAAAAACAAATCAGTATAAGTGAATTTTAAAATCATAATTCAGACCTCTTGCATCATTTTGAAATTTTTAAATCTTGTAAAATTACACAAATGCTTTTTACTAATCATTTTTTAAAAAAAAATATTGTCACTTCAACACCCTTAGCCAGTTTCCAGCCGTCGACGCTCTAGCACCAACGACCTGTCAATGGCTAGCCAGTAGAGCTCCCCTGAGGACCAATTGCCACAGCTCCAGTGACTATTCTTTCTTATGTATTGATTACTCTTTTTTAACTATTTACTACATTTGTTTTTAGAAATCTGATGGACTACTCTTATTTTGCTATTGACAACTTTAGTATTGCAATTGACTACTTTTATTTTTAAAATTCTGGCGACTACTCTTATTTAGTTATTGACTATTCTCGTTTTCCTATTAACTACTTTTGTTTCAAAAATTCAAAAAGAATGTATTAAGTGTTGTTGAAGATCTAGTGACAACTTTTGTTTAATTATTTATTACTCTTGTGGAGTCAATAGTTATATAGAAACAGTCACTAGAACTTTGAACCAAAAGTAACTGATAGTTAAACTAGCGTAGTCAATAATTATATGAAAGTAGTCATCAAGAATAAGGACAGTATTATCATTTCATAATATTTAAAAATTTCTAAATAGTACAAAGAAATTGATTTAGAATTTTGAAATTCACTCACCATAATTTGTCGTTTAGTATTTTTTTAGAGTATTTTAGTGTCTTTTTTTCAAATTTCAATATAACTATTCTTTATTAAAGTGTTAGGATTAAATGACTCAAGATATTTTATAAAATTAGAGGATTAATATAAAGCTATTTAATTAATGGCAGGATTAAAAAGGTTAAATAATTAAATTAATTATGATAAATATAATATATTTATTCAAAATATCCCCATATAATATTAGTTAAATTAGGTGAATTAATTTAAAAATTATAAATATATAAAAAGCAAAGTAAATTATAGATTCCAAATCAATTAATGAGGAATGGAAGCGCAAGGTACAAACAGGGAAACAAATCGCGGCAGCATCATGCTTCGATCATTTTCATGATTTCTTCAAGAGATTATTTCAACCAACGATTTTAATTCTTTTGCAGTTTTCCCATTTTGCCCCGCTGCCTCAATCACAAGGTTCTTCAATTTCTCAGCCTTCTTTCTCATCACCTTCCCTTCTTTCTGCTTCAGAACAACCTCCAAGCTCCTGATCAGCGCGTTCTTAGTGAACAACCCACCTTCTATCTTCACACCAACCTCCCAAACATCCTCCACCATTCTCGCCGCCATAAGCTGATCTCCAAAGTAAGGCCTGCAAATCATGGGGACGCCACTCGACAGTGACTCGCTCACTGAGTTACACCCGCCATGAGTCACGAAAACTCCCACTGATTCATGAGCTAAAACTAGGGTTTGTGGAGCCCATGGAACTACCTTCCCCTTCCTGCTTGTTCTTTCCAGAAACCCTTTTGGAAGAAGCGCCTTTGAATGATCCTTAAGTGACCACAGAAATGGAACATCTTCGAGTTCTTCCAGTGCCTCTGCAACGGCAGCTAGCTCGTGAGGAGGAGGTGAAACCACTGTTCCTAAGCTGATATATACTAATGACTTGGCACTTTGCTGATCTAGCCACAACAAGCTTCCTGTTTCGTCGGTGTTCGCCGGCGGCGGAGGGGGAAGTGGGAGGGAGAGATTCAGAAAACCTGCGTACACTAAAGCCTTCATCTTTGATCTCAGATCCTCAACCATTTCAGGTGGGTCTAGTTCCTCGTAGAAGTTAACCACCACTGCCTGGGCTTCTGGAAGCACTCTTCCCATTGAAGCTAGCATTTTGGAAAACGCAGATTCTTCTTCTTTTTCTCCGTCTGTGAGTATCTACACAAAGAATAGCAAGCTGTTACAGATAATGATTCAGAATATCTTCAAAATTGAAAGCAAAAGTGCGTACAATTGTTTCTGGTAAATCCTGGGTTCGGAACTTGGAGAAGCCAGGATTAATGAAGGCCAAGCTTCCATTTTCATCACTACCAAGGCGGTGCTTTTCGCGGATCAATTGGGTGTAAAAGTGAGCAGAGAGAGAGCAAGTATACGA